AACTGCTACAAGAAACCCATCAATGTGAGTAACAATATTGTAAAGATATGTTCATTTATTTTTATTTCGATACATAAATGTTGTGTTGTTTGGAATTATGTTTTATGAAAATGAATAAGGTACAAAAACTGTGATATGGAATATGGATATGAAATGTGAATTGTTTGTAATATGATATGGTGGGCCCAAAGCCATTCCGTTTATGCTACGACATGATACAAATTGTTCGGTCTTTAAGACCAATTGATTGTTGGTATGGAACAAAGTGTTGTACGGAACTAAGTACTACAATGGGAGTCACCTCTAAAATCTGTACAAGTCACCTCTTGAATCCATACATACATGCATTGGGCCCAAAGAGAGGTGGAGACATGTCGATGTTCCATCTACTCCATGATAAGATACAGTTACGACATGATATATTTAGACCTAAGGTTGTTCAGAAAATATGATATGAATACGAATATTTTTACATCGCTATATGACTCATGTTTACGAAGTGCTATTTTATATGAATGAATAGATGTTCTATTTTAAAATGTGATTCTAACCCTTTGTATAAATGGGTGTACCAAGCACCACATAATATGTTTTGTAATGGTTTCAAGTATGTATTCCATTTGAAAAGCATGGCTTTTGATACGATAAATGTTTGTTTTAAAATGATTTAAGATACGTTTTAGAATTATAAAATATGTTTTCCTAATATTAAGGACATTATTCATTAACCTCTTTACTTTATTATCACTCACTAGGCTTTAACTCACCCTTCTCCTTTATATATATATATATATATATATACATATATATGTAGATGAGCCATCGAGGGATCAGCATTAGAGTTGTACCAAAGTCCACCTCTCCGTCAAGCCACCTAGGTTACGCCTCTGTGTCTAGGCTTTAACTTTGTATTGTAGAATTCTGTATTTCATTGAACCTTTCATATAGTGTGTGAGATCTGTATAAGCTTTGTTATTGTATATGTAAATATGGAAAGTGTAGTTAAATGTTTTAATTATTTTAGTCATCATGTATGCACAAGCTCAATGAATATTATTATTTTTATTTTGCTTCCACTTTAAGCCCCGATATGATTTTAATATTGTGAAATTTTGTTTATGAGGCCTAAGTATAGGCCGATCATGACTTAAACTTTTAGGAGCAGGTTTGGGTCGTGACACAAACCATCTATGCTGAAATTTCCCAATAGCAGTCCCATCACTGCCATTATATATATATATATATATATAGTAGCCTTGGGGGCTCATATGTGAGCCAATGTAAACTCTGATTCAGGATTCAGAAATCATCATCACATCTCTTAAAGTTTTTCACTATCTGTGCACTAAAATGCACTACTTTGTGGAAAATTTTATTTACACATCATAAATTGTCTCATACACATCATTATTTAGTTCATAACATTACTTAATTCACATCTTTGATATTTTTAATCTTTGATATTTTACTCAAAACACACCACAATCTAACATGACAGAAAATAAAAATAATAATTCGAATTCAGAACAGAAATCAAGCAAGTTCAAAGCAATGCTATATATATATATAAAGAGAGAGAGAGAGAGAGAGAGAGAGAGAGAGAGAGAGAGGTGAGAATTGGAAGGTGAAGCGATAATAATTAAGAATTAAATGGTTCAGCTTGTACCTGTAACAAATGATGAAGGATTGATTCAAACCAAAGCTTCGTCGAAAGGTGATTTATGGTTGTGACTAGAGAGAAAAAGAGTTAGATTGACGAAAAAGTGATCAAATTACAGTGAGAATAAATGATTGAATGAATTACAGTGAGAATGAATGATCGAATTACAGTGACGAAAAAAAGAGTTAGATTGAATGAATGATTCGAAGAGACTCATTGAGAGGAGAGAGAGAGAGAGAGAGAGAGAGAGAGAGAGAGAGAGAGTTTATACCGTTGGTGATCTATAGAGCGAAATCGATCACAAGCAATCCCGTAGTTCTTGAGAATCGATCACAACCAATTTCTTCAGACTTTTGAGTGAGCGAAATCAGATTTCACGATTGTGCAAAATCAGATTCTTCATCACGACCATGGTCTCTTCTTCAAACGACCGAGCGAGCGAAATCAGATATTTCTTTGTTTGTGAATTGTAGAGAGTGTGAAAAGGGTTAGGGCATAAGTATAAGAAAAGAACAAAATAAATAAAAGAAAAAAATTTCAAGGCTGTTATTGTAAATATTATTTTTTGTGACAGTCAAATAATCAGTCGCAAAAATTAGTCGCAAAAAGGCCCTTTTCTAGTAGTGTCCTTTATTATTAGTCGTTTTTTCTTTACCATCTCTAACTACCAAACACATGTCTCTTACTCAACCCAACTGCTCAACTGTGATTTTGAAAGTGATCGTTTTTTTTTTTAAAAACATGAGTACGATGAAATCACATATCTATAATTATTGAATCAATATGATTTTTCATTAATTATTTACATACAACAAACTTATAATATGAATTTTTCAAATTAGTGGAGACTAGCCAACTTAAGCTAACTTGACAAAAATGAAACCTTGGTCCAAATGAAAATAAGCCAAACCTTTTTTTTCCCCCTCATATGACAAGCACAGGCTTTGTTTGGTTTAGGAGTGGAATCATAATTCCACCCTCCTATTTCAATGCTGTGTTTGGATATAATTTTTAAAAATTGATTTCACACCTACGTTTGAAAATTCTCTTCAAAACATGTTTGGTAGAGTAAGTTTTTGAATTTTGAATTTTGAAATTGGGTTTATCCAGTCGTCTGCCTAGACATCCTTCCAGACAGTTTTTGAATTTTTGGATCTACCCGGTCATCCGGGTGTCCGAACATCCACCCGAATGACCAAAACAATGATTTTTTTTTGGTGCCTGCAATTGCCACATGTTATTTGAAAAATATATATATATATATATATATATGTTTTTGATATGCTTAAAATATAGAAATTATTTTTTTAGACCAAAATGACAAATTATTTGGCCATTTATTTAAAATTAACAAAAAAAAATTAAACAAAAATTAATTTGTCACAGTAATTTTAAAAAAAATAAAAAATATTTTTAAACAAAACAATTAAAAAAAAATTCCAATCAAATATACAATCAAAAGTAATTTTAAAGCACTGGCTGATATTTTTTTTAACAAAAAATAATATATGTTTTTTAATATTTTAAATAAAAAAATATTTTCAGAATTTTTTGAATTTTTTAAATAAAAAATTTATTTTTTGAATTGAATTTTAAAAAGAGTTTAGTTATGAGTTTTGAATAGAATTTTCAATAGAGTTTTGAGTTATGTGTTTCGTTATAAGTTATAATTTTTTGAATTAAATCTTAAAAACTCTTTTTAAAACTCATAACCAAACAACTTTTCTTATTTCAAAAATTTAAAACTCAATTCAAAATTCTTTTCAAAACTCATAACCAAATAAATTTTCTCTTCTCAAATTATGATTCAACAACTCACAAACTTAAAATATAATTTTATTTTTAAATCATAATTCTAAAACTAAACCCAACGCTACCATAAGTTTTCTATGATATAGCTAAAAATAATTTTAGGCTACTACATTGGAAAAAATCCTTTATCTACATGACCAATTGACCGCAATTGTCAAGATAAAAAAAAACATTGAAAAAAAAAAAAAAAACTAACTTGTAATTTTGCTTTAAAATTTGAAAAAATTACCAGCAAATCCTATATGATAGAAAGTTAAACCATTTAGTCCTGAAAGTTTTTTTATACACCATTTAGTCCTATTTTTTTGGTAGGTTTTTTAATGATGATTTTATCTATTTTCTGTTTACCTGAATACCCTTGATGTGATTTGTTACCTAAATGGTTAATTCAGTTTTTGGGTGGATAAGGCAATGTCAATGTGTGGGGTGGGATTCTGATTGATCAACATTCATCTTATTGTGTTTGGAGGAATATTGTGGGCTGTGTTTGGTGGTGTTGTGTGCCGTTTTCTTCGTCGAAAAACATTGTTCCAGTTCTGATGACGTTTTGCTAAGGGGTTTTGATGGTGTGAATTTTGCTATCGCAACAACGTTTTTTGGTGGGTTCGTTTTGTTGTTAATTCTGCTGGCCCAACAAGTGGGTGTTCTGTAATGGTTTCATTGTTTTTTTTTACATTTCTTTGTTTGTTTCTGCATTTCTTTTTTACAGGTGGGTGTTCTCTAATGGAAAGTGTTGTTGCATTTTTACATTTCTTTGTTTGTAACGTTTTGGCTCCCTGTTCCTCAGATTTTTTTTTTCCCCCCGATGTTAACTGGGTCGGAAATGGTGTCGTCTTACGTATAGAGGATGGGATGTGTTTTGTAATGGAAGGTGTTGTTTCGTTTTTTACATTTCTTTGTTTGTAACGTTTTAGTTCCCTGTTCCTCAGATTTTTTTTTTCCCCTCCGATCTTAGCTGGGTCGGAAATGGTGTCGTCTTATGTATAGAGGATGGGATGCTGGTCGTGTGTACCCATGGACAGACCAGTGTTATGTTCCTTTTTTTTCTTTTTTTTGTGATGTTATCTGGGTCTGAAATGTTGTTGTCTCAGGTATGGAGGATGGGATTCTGCTAGTGTGTACCCATGGACAGACCAGTGTTCTGTTTCGGTTGCATCGTGGTGTCACGTTTGCACAGATTGTTGATGACATTTGTGGGAAATTTGATGGGTTGATGCCGGGGGTGGTCTGTTTGTTGTTCGATGTTCTGGGGTATAACAGGTTTAAGGTGGTTAGTGATGATGACATTAACAACATGTTGTGTCTGGGTAAATCGTTCGGGCTTAAGCACATTGAGCTCATCGTTCAGGCTCCAAGTGGTGGGGTGGGTGGTAGTTGTGGTTTGCTGGATTGCACGGATGATGGTGGGAATTATCAAGACGATATTTGGATTTCTGGTGTTAAGGATTAATCAGATTTGTTACCGACATACTGTCCTAATAGGTCAAAGACATTTCTGTTGGCTCAATGGGCGTATGAGATTACCCATATGGGACACTGTTTTGATGGGGGAGCAAATGAATTCCGAAAAGTTCTATGCAAGTACGCCGTGGAACGTGGATTCCAATTCAAGTATGTTAAAAATGATTCGGTTCGAATTACTGCTGTGTGCAAGTTTGCAGGGCAGACATGGTGTATGTGGTCAGTTCACGCGAGGATGTTACCATCAACGGGGGTGTTATGCATTAAGAGGTTCGATAGTGTGCACTCGTGTGGTGCTGCTATGCGAACTTATAGGAACCCGCGTACGAGTTTTGATTTGGTGTCTACTGTTGTTGCGGATCGGGTGCACGATCAACCATTGACCCGTCCTACAGATGTGGTGTTCGATCTGAGAAATGAATATGGATTGGAGATTAGTTACCGTGTGGCATGGTTGGGTGTTGAGAAAGCGAGGAGTGAAGTGTATGGGGATCATGCTATGTCGTTTGACCAACTTAGGTGGTATAGTGTTTCCGTAATGGAAAAAAATCCAAACAATTACATTGACCTTGAATTTGAGCAACAAACGGGGAAGTTTGTTCGGTATTTTATATCATTCTGTGTGTGTATAGATGGGTTCAATCATTGTTAGCCTTTGTTGTTTTTGAATGGAACGTTTTTTAAGGGGAGATTCAAAGGTAATTTGCTTGCCGCTACCGCGAAAGACGACAATCAAGGTAATGTTGTTTCAAATATAATTTTTCGTATGGTTTACGTGTTTCAAATGGTATTTACTATAATTTCATTTGCCCACTCAATGTTTTGTTCGAACATGTTGTCATGGGATTGATAGCATGGTGGACTCGTAAAACATCTTGTCATGATCAATTTTTTTTTTTTTTTTTTAAATTTCATATACCACATTACACATTGCACTACTTTTTCTTGACGTATGATATAACACATTGCTGTACCTTTTATTCGTACGTAATTTCTCATTGGCATCCAAATTGTTGGGGTTGATTTTTCGTCTGTTTCATGATTTGTATGTAGGATTATTTCCTGTGGCATTTGCTGCTGTTGATTCCGAGAATGCAGCCAATTGGGAATGGTTTCTATGGAATTTGAAACAAGTTGTCAATGGTGGCCAAACATTAATGTTCATATCTGACCGTCACATTGGACTGTTGCAGTGTTTGCCAAACGTATTTCCGTCGACACATCATGCATATTGTTTGGTGCATCTCCAAATGAATTTACGTGACCGCATGAAATATGTTAATACATCACAGAAGTTTGGGTTGATGCGCAAGTTGCTTGAATGCGCGTACGCGCCCACTGTTAATTGTTTCAATGAGAAGATAGAAGTACTCAAGAAGTGTAGCCCGACTGTGATTGAAGGTTTTATCAAGGACTTGGACCCCAAACATTGGTCTAACGCGTATTTCAAGTAATTCGCGATCTGTACATTACTATCACTTTCATTTGTTGTACAAATTATTCCTTTTTGTTAACATTATTGTACATGTTTTCCGTACCCCTTCAAGTGTGTTATTTTTCAAGGGGCAATGGTATGGTGAGATGTGCTCAAACGCTGCTGAATCTTTCAATAATTGGGTTAGTGATGCGTGTCATCTTCTCATTACTCGTCTAGTTGATATGGTAAGGGGTCAAATCATGGAGCAGATGGCAGAACGCAGAGTTAAGTGCAACACATGGGCTGGTATATTATGCCCTAAAATGGAGAAGAAGTTGGCGACGGCGTTTAACGATAGCAGGCCATGGTGTGTTAGTCAGGCTAATGACGAGGTGTACGAGGTTCACTCCAACCCGTCGGTGTTGGTCGATGTGGGTAGGTATACGTGTTCCTGTTTTCAGTGGCAGATAAATGGGTTCCCATGTTCTCATGCCGTTGTTGCATTCTGTAATAGCGGGAGGAATATTTACAATTCCATAGACCGAGCATTTCACATCGACACATTTCGTTCTTCATACAGTGGAACAATATATCCTATCCCTACCGTGGAGAAGCCAAATGTCAACGCAGCTGAATATATGATAGCACCGCCAATAGTCAAGCGTCCGCCGGGTAGGCCCAAACGGAAGAGGATTCCATCTAAGGACAAGGTAGTTCAACGTATTCGAAGTGAGCGTTGTGGGAAATTTGGCAACCACAATAGGAAGACTTGCAAAGAGCCGATATAGATGGGATTCCATGTGGTTATTTTTTTTTTACCGTAGTCAGTTTTTAAATACATGATAGTACTATCATATTTTCTTCCAAATTGGTTTCATAATTCATGTTAGGCCCTAACTATTTTTAATGTCTTCAGTTTTAATGTTTTTTCTAAAATACAATGTTGATGGTAGTGTTTCAATCCCACAAGCATGTTTTGCATTTTTTGGTCCTCAACCAGCAGTTTGTGTGTGGTAACAGATTTTTGTTCCTTTACATTACTAATCAGTGTAATGTGGTCGCAACTTAAAGAACATGCACCGCGACATTACTACTCCAACTGTCCTATATTATACATACATTCAAATCATAATGAACAACTACACAAATCAATATATGATAGGCAAAGTTTAGCAAAATTTACAGGACCCCAATGAATAATACGGAGGTATTTTGCAGGTCTATCTAGCCTTCTTGTAGGTTGACAATGTAACAGACATGTAGCGTGGACAATGTGGCCTATCAATGTAGCCTAACAATGTAACACACGTATGATTAACAATGTAGATCGACCAGATATATGTGTAGTTCAACTTTGTCAATCTATTTTATTCAAAAAGAGCTATTGTTTAAATTACGTGCAAACTGGTTTCATTCTGCTATCAAAACCAAAAAAAAACCAGCCATACTACCATCGGAAAACCTGTTAATCCACCATTCGCAATACTAATAATGTACCAGATTTTGCTAGAACAAAAAAAATATGCCAAAAAACATGCACTATTCACACACAGGTAAACATTTTTTCCCGACTGCCTAGCTAAAACATAACTGCCACTCTAAGGGGTGTGGTTCCTACTGAAAAAGGGGGTGCTGATCATATTTTGTGCTACCATTGCACGTTGTCCTTTTTCTGGGGAACTTACAAACATTTCCACCATAGCAGCGCGCATAGTAGTGGGAGTGGGGCCGTCCATTGTGTCGTTGACATCTGCCCCACGGATGTGCTGTCTAATAATGAAGCACACGAAGATTCCACAGTCTGACCTGCAGTCACGTAATATGTTAATTCGCTTCCACAACACATTGATTCGGTTCGAGCAAACAAGATAATAAAAACAGTACTTACGACTCTGGGGCTTGTTGCGGACAATCCACAACGGATGTAAGTTTGCCATTAAAATCCTCTACCTCAACATCATGATTTCCAATTCTTGGCTTCACAAAATTATTATGGTGTTCAGCCACCCACTGTTTCTGTTCACAAATTTAATGTTAATACAATTACGTGCCTGCCAACGCGAACATATCAACTTAACCATTCATCACTCATGCATACTCAAACTCAAAACTGATATAGTGCCATGTTAACACTACAATTTCTTAAGGAATAAATATACCACCTACCACTTTCAAAGCCTCGTTGTAATGCTCATCGCGCATACCATGCCTTGGTTTCAACGAGTTGTAATGTTTCCAATCCCCGCTGTCTGAATCGTGTACCATGACAGTCCAGTGGTTGGCATGGTATATTGGGTTTACAGTGTGTCTGGAACCTCGCGCTGCCTTTGTGTGTACGTTTAAGTACTTTGTTTGTGACAAAGCGCTTATGTTACGCATCATGCCCTACACATACATTCAATGTCCACGTGCCCCCACAATTTGAAATTGTTAGCAGGAATACATGTACGGGTTGTGTGTTCACAGCACAACGGGAGGTACTAGGGTTACTTACCATGCACATGCTACTATACACATACGCCATTCCTTTATATTCTCTTCTACCCAACACCGTCCTATGCATGTCTGTCAACATAGCTCCGTACGCATTTATTACCTACACCACGTAGTGAACATTACAATTTGGTTGTCTCCATTTACAAAAAAAATAACACAACCGTGCCACACAGTGTATTCGCTGACATGGTGACAATATATTTAAAAAAAAAATCCAACCTATCAAGCCAACCCTATTTCCAATGGTACCAAATCAGTAAGGAATTCACTTAAGAAAAAGAGAGATGTGCATACATTGCCATGAATCGAGTTCTCCTGTACCAAATCTTTGATGTCAGTGAAGTGAACTTGTATCCCATTCTCACCACCATCCCATACTATTAACCTGCACGCCATAAACCAGAACATATTAATAACGTACTGAACGTTGCAACGATAATATACGACAACTTAATTAACGAAGAACTTACCCATCTCATTCTAAGCTGTACATTTGCTCCAGTACCTTCCGGTCTTCATCTTTCAACATGCCCCACACAATGTGTCTCTGAGTCATTCCAAAACTATTCCATGTTTTACGTCCCACATCAATATCCTCGACAGTGTATATCTCCCCTGGCTTCGTTGATTTACAAATCCTCACTTTGTCACTCAGTTTGACCCTCCCAAATACGTTGGGGTACTAGTAATCACACAACCTGTACTCCCGCCTTGGCTTTTCTTTCACACGTTTGACCATTGATGTAATCTTCGGTCCAGAACTTTGTTCGCTGGACTTGTCATGACAGACAATTTCGGTGCCTTCAACATCAACACCCAAACCATCACACGCATGTGGAAATGTCTGGACGATATGTGAATTCCTCTTACAATCAATGCCTGCAACAGATGAACAAACATACCCATTGACACAAGTAATACTCACATCTTCACCCAAGTTATATATTTGTACAACTTGGTGCGTGAGACTAGCTAAGCCTTCGGTCTGCCCTGCATGAGAAGATGATTGTTGCGCAACATCGCTGCTTGTCTTCGTGGCTGCTCCATTACTGTCGTCCGCCTGACTGTTACAAGCTGTTCGATGATTCGAGTCACTGTTCGCAACGGACTGCGTAACGTTGTGCACCTCACGATCATCAAGACTATCTTCCAAATCGGTTATTCCCGTGTTTGCTTGTTCGACCATCTTCGTTAGGCGTGCAATCTCAGCATCCTTCATAGTGAGAACACTCTCAAACCCTATCAGCATATTAGCAGCCTACGCCCCTAGTATCTTCTCCATTGATTCCACACGCTGTTCTAATTCACGTACTCGTGCGCATTTACTTTCAATGTCCCTCTCCAACAAAGTTACTTTCATTATAACATTTTTCAATTCATCTTCCATTCCCATTGGTTCAGGTCGAACGACGCCACCATCTGGTGTGCTTGACAGTTCTAGAAGATCCGGAAACAATACCGGCCAGACTTCTCCATATCCCATTTTTTTCCCCTCCACCTTTTCCTTACTAGTCGGCGTGCCATTGTTGTGTTTCTCATTTACATCTACCAATTCCGTCCTCACATGACCACCCTCTGCTGAAACAGTCTGCCAACAATTGAAGCTAGGATCCACATTTCCCCCATCCGTTACTAGATCCACATCCATCACATTCTGACCGCCTTCAGTATGATCAATCAATACCGGCTCATGTTTGACAATATGACACTCTCTAATTGTCCCAACAAGTTTATTGCAGTGCACCTGAAAAAAAAAACCAAACATTATACACATTATAATACATTCATAGTAACGCAAATAGCGCACTTCAATCTGTTTTCATGTCATACCTCAATACAACCTTCAGCCCACAAGTCTATGCCTTTCAGTTTCGCTGCGACGGTTCCAAGGTTCCATCGGCAAAATCTTGGCGTCAACTCAGGCCGTTCCGGAGTCACTATGGTCGAATGTTCACATATGAGAAACTGCAAACACAATTTCACACAAAACAATTAATTCTATCAGACAAAACATTATCAATTTCACATCTGGGAACAGTGAATGATGTTTGGAAGATTTCATTTCGTACATACCAACAGCACCACTACACACCCTGTTACCCTTTCTGGCTTGCCGTGCATCTCATTCAGAGAATTGATTAGTGTGTTACGGATAGTTGCAGCCCAATCGTACTGCTGTAATGTCTCCAGTTTGTCAATCACACGCACAAACGACCAGCCTAGATGTTCGCCAGTTGTTGCAAAAAATAATTTTGCATAGATGTAAAGACACAGCAACTTCGCCACGTCTTTTTCGTCACGCACAGTGCGGCCACGGATTGCTTCCATTAGTAGATCTTTAATAACTTTGGATGACATGCGTCCAACGTTCGGGCACCTCCTTTGCATGAAATCTGAAGGACCTTTCTAACCTTGTGACAAGTCCAACTTGTCTTTTCCACTTTGTACGCCAAAAATCAAACGAATGCCATTGTTCCTCAAGGGTAGCTTTGCTCCACCAATGTGAAACTTTTCATCTTTCGGGTTGTAAGTCTGTATAATTCGGCACACCGTGGCGTCGCATTTTTTGAACGACTTCGGATTTAGATTGTGAGCTTGGATAGCGTCTACCATTATCGCGAATGGTGTTTTCTGAATTTCCCGAATGTGATCGTCCCCAAATTCCAACTCTAGCACGGTGTTAATCACACTTGATATGTTTGACCGATACATTGGCTTAGATGTGTCAACAGCAGCCTTCTTGCCAACACTAACACTCACCCTCTGTTTCTTGTATGGCAGTCTCGATTGCCTCTTCGGGGCCTTTTTGGTTGATGTTTGATCGGCTTGCTGCGACCACGATGCACTAGCGCTCCGTTTCCTATTCCTCCCCACACAGCTACCTGCATTGTGTGGCACATATACATTTCAGATTGTAATCCTAACCAACACCGACGTACACAAAATAGCATGCATAACCTTAACACATTATTTTGAAATAAACAACATCTACAGTCCACTCTACCACTAGTCCAATAATTACATGTGAAAAAAAAGAATATCACATCTCACTACCATCACACGACACACCAACACCATATGCAACACATCAAAAATATAATCATTTCCACACACAAACCAAAAACACCCCATTATTTTTTCCACGCCAAACATTACAAAATCATATTTGCCACCCAATTCATTGACGGAAATTACATTGCACATCACATTACAACGGTACGTTCCCAACACCTTCCATTACTGGAAACCCCACAACGTTACGTTCACATCACATTACTATTTTTACTTTCAACTATGCACAAAAGATCATTCATACTTGAATCTTAAACCAACGTGTTACAGCACAGTATACACTCCAACGTTATTGAATGACTACCATTGCGTAACGTAAAATTTAAAAAACATCACAAACCTCTAATTACACTATCTGGACATATCATAACAACACTCAAAAGCATACCAAACACATTGAACGAAGGACAACACCATTACATTACAAACACATACAGTAAAACCCACAACGAACCTTAAATTCACCAAAACCAGTAACATTACATTTGAAAAAACAGACAACTTCATATGTATAAACAAAACCAGCCCAATAAATTCTTTCCACCCCCCTCTCCCGATGCAATTAGGACATCACACCACACACATCATCCTGAACTACACCAAAACAAAATGAATGCAATTCCACAAATAAATTCAATTCCACAAATAATCCAGCAACATTAGCACACTAATTCCGTCAATAATCCCCCCTCACAACGACGACAACCAACAATAAAACTCAAATTTTACAATAATGGCGCACAAATTATCCTAAATCCTAACGTTCATAACATATTGCACACTCCAACATACTCACACACATTAACCAATTCAACAAATACGAAATCGACGCCTATCACATTCAAATCAACAACGTACCTAACGCCATGTTCAACTAACACAGTATGAGTCGGTGACCAGTGAGCAATGTTCGAATGGTGATCGCGAACAGCAGGGGAGAACAACAATGGCTTATTAGGTGTTCGTATTTTCTAGGGTTTACAACACTAATGGGTTTGTAATTTAGGATATCAATCCACAACTCTTCGCCGTCGATTACGATAAATGACTCACACCCCCACCAACATTACGCCATTAACATCGGAAACTACAGTCCTTTCCATCTATGACTCTTCCCTTCAAAACACTTACACCAGATAACATAAACACATCGCCTTAACGTTTTAGGTATAAGCGTAAATTACACATTGTGAAAACCCACATTTGCCCTGACCATAACTTCCCACACGCGAGGTAACGCGACTAATTTGGTCATTAACATTGGGTTAGGACCTAACGGTTCATAAGAAAATTAATAGGACCAAATGGGTCACAAGATACAAATTTGGGAATTATTGGTGCATTCCCCTTTAAATTTTGAAAGTGTAAAAAAAAAGAAAAAAAAATGTAATAGTTATATTAAAATTTTGAAGTGTAAACTTTAGCAAATAAGATCAATAATTAATTCACTCTTGGGAAGTCCAACGCCACTAAAACCCCTTAGATATTTGGGTCTCTTTTGGTAAGTGGATTAAAAATCAGTTTGTTGACTTTTTAATTTTTTTAGATCATATTATTTCTCTATTTTTATTTATATTTTTTTAAAAAGAGTCAAAAAAATTAAAATATCAACTTCTAACCTATTTCAACCATATGAAATAATGGTTTCGTTTGGGATGTGGGTTGACTTTTTTGCTATTTTAACTTGGAGCTAAAAAGCGTCGTCTGGGATAGTTTTTTTTTTCTCTTTTGACTTTTATGTGAGAAAAAATAAAATGATTATGATTTGTATATAATATTTTTTAGCCTGGACTAAAAATTTTGGCAAAGTCTTTTTTTGGCTTTTAGAGCTAAAATTCACAAAATGACAAAATAGGCTAAAATAGCTAGTAAGACAAAATGTCACATCAAATCCACAATCATTTCACTTTTTCTCTCACAAACATCACATCCAATTTCCAAAAAAAAAAAATCCAACTATCCTCCCAGACACAAAGGGCTTGTTTGGTTTGTTTTTTAGAAAAATTTTTGGGAAAAATTCTCTACAAACAAATTTTCAAGAATAATCAAACCAAACAAATTTTTTCAAAAAAAATCTCAAAATTTTGTTTTCTTACTTACTTTTCAAAATCTCTCTCTCTCTCATACACATCAAATCAATCACTTTTTTTAAAATTCTCTTCCCAAAATAATTTTCCAAAATCATTTCTGAAAAAAAGCAAACCAAACAAGTTTTCGTATTTTTTATCTCAAAAACTACTCTACAAACATACACCAAACACACCCAAAAATTTTAATTTACTAAAATAGCCAAAAATTAAAATAGCCTACTAAAATAGTAATTTTTTAAACACTCACTTTATCTTTTTGTGGCTATTTTAGTTTCAACCTATCCCAACCCAACTTTCCAAATCAATGTAATGAATCGAATAGAAAAATGCAAGAGATCTCAAAAGTTTTATCAAAATTTTTTATATGAGTGTGGAACCCACACCAGGTGGGACCCAATGTGGGTCCATGGGTGCAGGACCCACATGGTGTGGGTCCCACACTCATATAAAACATTTGATAAAAAAATTGATAAAACTTTTAAAATCTCTAACATTACTCAATAGAATAATAGAAGAAAAATGCTAGGGATCTCAAAT